TATTAAAATGTTAGCTTAAAAAGATTTAAACATTTTTTTTAATCTGAATATTTTCTATTTGTAAATAATGAGCATATTTAATTTTTTTGTAATTCAAACTTTTACATCAATTGCGTGTGGTTTTTAAAATACTTTATTAAATATTAAAATAATCGTAAATTACTTCATTAAAATTCCGCTCAAAAATATATTTAAATATACTCAAACAAAAAAATTTTTGCTCCAAGCAAATAGCCCTAGCTACACGCAAAATCGCTCTTGGACGACGTAATATTCACATCGCCCGACGCTTTATCGCAAGGCCTGATATATATATATATATATATATATATATATAATATATATATATATATATATATATATATATATATATATATATATATATATATATATATATATATATATATATATATATAGGTAAATAACTTTCTGATTTTTTTTAAAAGCTTAAAAAGTAGCTTGTTGCTTATTGAAAATAAATACAAAGAGATTAGAAAACCAGGTGCACAGTAAAAAAAACTTGCTGTATGAAAACTTGAGCAAGAAAAAAAAAAAAAAGAAACTTGAGAGAAAAAAATCATTTGAAATATATAGTATTAAAAACTTATGAAAACAAAATAAATTAGAAACTAATAAAAACCTTGGTTAAATATATATTTTTAAATAAATTTGTATATGTATATATAAATATATTTATATAAGGTAAGCAGATTTATTTAGCAACAATTTAAATACTTAAAGCAATTGAAATTATAGCAGAAGTAACAAACAAAAAAAAAGGTAAGCAGATAGTGAATAAAAAAGCAAATCGTGAGAAGAGAGAAGTATTAGAGAAAAGTGCAGAGAAAAGTATATTAAAATAAATTAAAGAAAAGAAAAGCTACAGATAAAAACTGTAAAAAAATCTGAAAACTTACTCAACACTTCTTGTCTATTTAAAAGCCAAAAGCCGAGTTCAATTAAGAAAAAATTGTTATAATTAGAGCCTAGAAACAATAAAGGTCCAAACTTTGAGAAGCCCTTGCCCCAAACGTGAGAGCAACAGGTAAATAAAATATTTTTTCTATTTTTCTTAACTAAATATTTATCGATAAATTGTAAATTTCATATAATAATCTCTAAGCGTTCAAAAACTATGAACACAAAAAATTATGATCATGTAAAGTTTGAACCCCCTCAAATTAAGGGGGGTTCAAACTTTACATGATCATTTTAAATTTATATTAATATATTATACTAATTTAATTATTTTTTTATTATTAATTAATTTTTATTATTAATTAATTTATATTATATTATATTTATAATTTTTGAATACTAAAAGATATTGTATGAAATTTAAATTTTATCAATGAATATTAATTTAGTTAAGAATAATAGAATCAACATTTTATCAACTTGTTGCTTTCAAGTTAGGGGCCAAGGCATCTAAAATTTTGGGGCTTTTTTGCTCCTAGACTCTAATGATTGCAATTTTTGAAAAGCATTCTTATTCCACATAAACACAAATATTTAATGTTAGGAGTTTTCTCCATGTCTAGCTCAAACACCAAAAAAAGTTAGATCCGTCCCTGATTAGAATATTAATTATGCTAACTTTAAAGTTTTTTATATATATATAAAAAATTTTTTCTACATATGGTAATCTTTATAATCAGTTGTCATACTTAACTAAGAAAAAACCATGTTTTTAATGAAGATTTTCAATAAGAATGAACAAATTAAAAACAGGATAATAATTTTATTTCTATGTATAAGAATTATTATGTTATTAATATTATGTAATATTGCTAAGTCATTGATGACAAATATTATTTTTTCTACTATTAAAACAAATCTTACTAAAAAGCTTATTCCTTTTTTAGTATAGTATTCCGCTATCTTGAAATCAAAATTTCTAATTTAGGATAAAATCTTACTAATCAGATTCAGTAAAATATTTTGTAGATTCTGGCAAACCTGAGCTTTTAAAAAATGAAAATATTTACCTCAAGAGACATTCCGCTAATAGTATTTGCTGCATGTCTTGGTGCTTCATTTGAGGTGCGTGATGCAAATTGAGAGCCAGCTGAATTTTAAATTCAGTTTATTGGATAAAAAAAGATTTTAAATACATACTAAAAGACTAAATAAAAAATTCAACTAAAATTTTAATTTACTTACCTTAATACTAATTTAGTATTCTATTAAGTTTTCAATTAAAACTAAAGTTTAGCATCCGTAATTACAAAGTTATTGCAATACTTTGTCGTATTTGCAATAAATTTATTGCCGCATTTTAACCAGGCTTGGTCGGGAAGCAGGTGCGATCGCACTCGATAACTGACCATGGAGATAATATTTAGTTGCGAAAAACCGGCCAGATATTTTAGTCATTTTGAGAAAATTTAAATTTATGTATGTTTCCTTAATTAAGTTCATTATTTTATCGTAATTTTTGAAATATTTTGTTTACGGACATACATGGAAACATACATAAACTCGAATGTTCTCAAACATCTTTGTGCGGAAAAATAAAAAAAATAAAAAAAAACCCACCAAATCTACGAACAACTAATTTTATTGGTTTAAAAAAACTTACTGGAATTTTTAGAGTATTCTGTTGAAATATTTTAAAAAATTGTATTATTTGAGTTTTGTTATGATTTTGTTGAGATTTCTAGCATAATTTGTTTCAAGAATATACTATCAAACAAACTATTATTTTAATTCTTGGAGCCACATCTACAAAGCTATAAATGTTTTAAACTAACATTATTTGTTTACAAAAATAAATGTTTTTAATTTACTAACTTTAATTATTTTTGCTTCAGCCATTTTTACAAACTCGTATACTTAAACTTAAAGTTAATTTTTTCTGTTTTAAATACTAATTAAAATTATAAAGCCCACTAACTAAACATCATCAGCGTTATTGTGAAGCAGTTCCGCTTCCTCCTCACATAGTAATTTTACGTTTTTAGTTAATTTCTATTTAGCTAATTGAATTTCTACAAAAACTCAATGATTTAATTATTTCATTTGTTCATCTTTTAAGATATTTAACACATTTGAAACAATTTTTCTTAGTATACTAAGAAAAATTGTTTCAAATGCGTTAAACTTTTCAAACAACGCGAAGCATAAAACAGTTATAGAAAAAACTTTTTTATTTATAAAAAAAGACTGAAAAAAATACAGAATGGTCCTCTTGACTATTTCGCGGCCCCTAACATTGTCAGTCCCAAGGCTATAGCCCTTCTACTCCCCCCCCCCCTTCTCAATTCAGCACTGGAAATAAGATAAGTATATAAATAAAAATTATATATACTCTTTGATAAATCGGAGTACATTTGTTAAAATGTCACTTAATTTTATAAAAAATATTATAAAAGAGCGACGTTTCAAAAATATTTGCTCTAATCGTATTTATTTTGCTTAAAGTTTTTTTGCGTTAAAAGCTATTTTTCTTTTTTTAACTGTCTCTCATTGGTCCAGTTAATCTTATTGCGCTTTTTTGTGAAGTTTTTAAAATGTTCTTAAAACGACAAAAAAATCTGGCCGGTTTTTTGCAACTAAATATTATTTCCGTGGTCAATTGAGTGCGATTGCACCCGCTTCCCGACCAAGCCTGGTTTTAACACATCAAATGTTTTGCTATTTCATCCTATTTGGAATAAACTTAAAATTTTAGGTTTGCAATATGTATGCCCGCTTGTTAAAAAACAAACAATTTACAAATATTGACAATTTCAAACCGGAACATTTACAAATTGAAATATTTTTTTATTTTTGTTTATACACTTTACTGTATGAAAATTTAATTAGACATACACAGGGTCCATAGCCAAATATTTATATAAAATTCTCTGACTTTTTTGAAAAATCAGAAGAATTTCCCTGACCATTTTCAACAATGGTTTTTATAAAATGTGTAAAATTATTACCTACTGTAATGGAAATAGTAAAATTGTGCATGCTTTGGATGACTAAACTTATAAAACTTAGCTATTAGTTAGGTTGGATATTAGTATGGATCTTATTATACATGTTAGTATGGACCTTATTATTAAGATGAACACTAAGAAAAACATAAATTTCAGAAAAAATAAAACAAGAAACTTCTCAATCAAAATTCCCTGACTTTTCCATGACTATCTAAAGAAAAAAAAAACTCCCTGACTTTTCCAGGTTTTCCATGACTTTAGCCAAAATTAACTAATTTTCTAGGTTTTCCAGGTACAGTATGAACCCTGCATACATTTGAAGGTGACAACATAAAATCATGGTAGTATCCTTGAATGAAACTGATTTTTTTAAATGCCATATATATATATATATATATATATATATATATATATATATATATATATATATATATATATATATATATATATATATATATATATATATATAAATGGTCATAGTTTATTTAGTTTATTTATTACATTTTAATTGTTTAATTTTAGATTGCTCATAGAAAGAAATTGTTTAATTTTAGATTGCTCATTTAGAAATACAAATTTAGTTTATGTGTTGTAGGTGAAGATTTTGTTTATAACGGCAAATTATTTTACAAAATGAGTAGACAGTTTACATCCGGTTATTTAACTTGTAACTATATGTAAATTGATGGAGGGAAAACAAGTTAAAAATACTAAAATAATTTTTTTTTCTTATATATAAACATTGTTTTGAGATTTGCTTACTGTATTACTGTGGCGCCTGTTGCAATTTAATGAAAGCCTTAACTTTTATCAAATTAAGAAAAAAAATTTTAACTAATATTTTTTCTCCGCATGTGTCTAACATAAAATTATTTTATGTTAAACATGTAAATTATTTTATTAGTTAAAAGGTTTTAACTAATAAAATAAATTAAAATTAGATTTTATAACTTAATAAAATAATAATTGCGCTTAAGCAAGCATTTAAAAAGTAATGTTTTTTAAATTTGCTATGCTTGAATAAATTTGAGAAGAAAAAAAAATGAATTGAAAAAAAAATGAATGAATTTTCGTTTTTATAAAGCATGTCAAACTTGAAAAGCAAATAATTACAATAAAAAATAAAATAATATTTAACAAATATTATATATTTTTAACATGTATTTCAATTTGCATGCCAACACTTTAGGATATTCAGGTCGGCAGTTGCATGCCGTCCCAAAGCAAAGGTAGGTTGGCTTTTGCGTCGGCATTGCCAAATGCTGACCTGAATTTCGCTGACTATATATATATATATATATATATATATATATATACACAAGGCTGGCGCGATAGGGGTGTGTGATACCCCCCCCCCCATCAATGATTTTTAGTCGGCAAACTGGACCCTTAGTCTGCAAATTGGACCCTTTTCAACTAGTTAGTCGGCAAATATCGACCCTTTTGATATAGGTTAGACAGTCGGCAAAACTCTTTATACCAGACTTTTATTTAATTTTTTTAATAAAAAATTGTGCTTTCTTTTCTCATAAAAACAACATAAAAATTTTGAATTTTTGAATACAATTTTGTTTTAATTTATTTTCTAGATGTTGTTTTGAATAGTTTAGTTAGAGTTATTACAAAGAATTGGAGAGTTCTTTTCTTTAGCTTGATTTTTTTATTTTATTTTATTTTTTTAGATGTCATTTTGAATAGTTTAGTTAGAGTTATCACAAAGAATTGGAGAGTAGTCTTTCCTTAAACAGAAAAAAAAAAAAGTCAAATTTACTTAAATTTGTTACTTAAAAAACAGGAATTATGAAAAATGGATGAAAAAAAAGGTGGTACTCTTAAGTGCTTAATACACAGCAGTTGATGATTAACAATTTTTTAAATATTTTTCCACCCCCTCTTCCTGTTTGTTAAATTTTACTTGTTACGAACAAATAAACTAAATCCCAAACCTGAAAAAAAAAATTTAGTTATTTTCTAATTTTTGAGATCAATTTAGGTCTTAAAAATTAGAAAATATAAACTTGCTCATAGGAAATAGAATACTCATAGGAAATACTCATAGAAAATATAAACTAGTAAATAGAAAACTCAAAATATAATACTCATACTCAAATATATAATACTCAATACAAATATAATACTCATACTCAAAATATAATACTCATATATATAATACTCATATATACTCAAAATATCATACTCAAAATATAATACTCAAACTCAAAATATAATACTCATAGGAAATATTCATAGAAAATATAAACTAGGAAATAGAAAACTACAAAATATAAAATAGGAAATAGAAAACTCATAGGAAATACTCATAGGAAATATAAACTTACTCATAGGAAGAAAGAAAAAGTTCCCACTCACCCATTTGTTAAGACTACCTCATCTCCTTCTTTTCTTATCTTTTATTAAATTCTATTCAATTTTTATTACTTAACTAAACAAGTTTTACTTACTAAATTAATAGTTATGAATAATTAACAGTTGCTTTTTTATTGACCAGTAGCCAACATTTGGACAAGACAATTATTGGTTAAAAGACAATTATTGGTTCTGTATTTCATTATTTTATCATTTTCTAGATTATATGTACCACAATGTGTTTTATATGATGGAGAATTTATTATTTTATTGATTTTGGGATTCAATAGTTTATAAAATTGAGCCTAAAACCTAATTCATAGTCAGAATATAATAATCACTAGAATATTATAACAAATATAAACAATCTACCTGTTTTTTTACTTAAAATTATTTTAAAGAAAATAGTTCTCACAACAATAAGCAAGGGACTTCCAGTTAAGCAATGCACTGCAATAGTGTTAAGTGTTATTGGTATTTCAGGAGGTGATGTTTCTAATAGTGCGCTATCTTTCTCAACTGTTTTTATAGATAGAGATAGGAAGGGGAGGGGGAGGAAGGGGTATTAATAAAGAAGGGTAAGAATTTTTTAAATTCTATAGTGAGTTTATATTTTCTAATTTTTATGACCTGAATGATCTCAGAAATTTTTAAAATATTTGATAAAAATTATTTTTTTGTTTTTAGTTTTGAGATACAGTTTCTTTGTTTACAACAGGTAAAATCAGGGATATGGATTATCAAAAAGACTCCGGCTTTATATCTATATTTTTTGCTGGTCTCTGGAGTCCAAAAGCTCTAAAAATATTGGTTGACTTATGATCTGTGAAAAGAAAAAAAACACAAGATTTAATAGCTTGAAAGTTATTGTTTTTAAGCCTAGAGTCCTTGATGGCATTATACCAAAAGACTGCTTTTTCAAAGACTAAAAATTTTTTACCATTAGTAGTCCATAAGCTTTTTTATATTTTTACAGCTCTGGATACTAAAAACTAGGATGAAATCTTTTTGTGACTTTCAAACCAGAGTCTTTTTTGGAACTCCGCATTCCTGAATAAAATTCAATAAATGGGGGAGGGATCTTAATAAACTCAGGGTTGGTAGGAAATTTTTTTGAAAAGTATTAGACATCAACTGCTGTTTATTATGCATTTAAGAGTACCACCTTTTTTTATTTTTAAGTTAATAAATTGAGTTAACAAGAAAAGAACACTCTCCAATTCTTTGTAATAACTCTAACTAAACTATTCAAAACAACATCTAAAAAATAAAAATAAAATAAAAAAATTGAGCTACATCTGCATTTTTGTAATTAAACTCGCCCAAGTAAAATTGCGATAATGGTCAAAATTACAAATGTTATGTTTATTTTTAAACATGTCAAGTTGTTTTATTGGATTTCTTGCCTCAAAATATGTAAGTGTACATATTTTCAGCTTTCCCTTGCATACAGAGTAGAAACAATGACCAAAACCGTTTTTCAAAATAGCAGATTTTTGTTGGTTCAAGGCAAAGTTTGAAGAATCATATCTTTGAAACCATTTGAAATTAGATGATAAAATTTTGGAAATGTTCATAACTTATTAAAATCTTTGAGTGGTGTAAAAATCAGCGAAATCTGAGACTTAGGGTTACATTTTATAAAAAAATTGTATGCTTTCACATTAATTCGTAGGGCTGTATATATATATGTATGTATATATGTATGTATGTATGTATGTATGTATGTATGTATGTATGTATGTATGTATGTATGTATGTATGTATGTATGTATGTATGTGATATATATATATATATATATATATATATATATATATATATATATATATATATATATATATATATATATATATACACACATACATATAAAAATATATCCATTAGATATATTATTTTACAGTTAAAAAATATAAAACATTTTTTATAAGCATCAAAAATTTTTATAGTTTTTTGTTTGTCAAATTTTTAATAAGTAAAATTGTTAATAAATAACTGGATAGCTAGTGTGTTGCATTTAAGAAACCAACTTTTAATCCACATTAGAAACATTGTGCTGCAGCATCCAACAAAAATTGTATAGTTTTTAATTATTAATGTATTTATTTGACACAAAATGTGCATATAAATATGGACCTTGTCCATATATATATAATTGGATGCAATTAAATATAGAATAATAATAAAAAAATGCAGAAAATATAGGTTGTTTTAAGAATCATTTTTTATAAGAATGAGGTAACTTGAAATAGTTTCAGGGATACCTTCAAATCATTTCATTAGAAAAACTTGAAAATATGAGACCGTAATTCGAAGTTGATTCTCTGATTCAAAAGTTATTGCGGTTTGAAGTTTCATAAAATGTTGACTTGCGTTGCTCATGACTTTCTCTGATTTCAAACAACTTTTTTACCCGCATGAAGTTACTCATGTTTCCATGTAGTAATTTAATGTGGTTAAAAAAGTTGTTTAAAATAAGGAAAAGAGCTGAATTTTTTATGAAAGAAAAAATTGAGCTTTTAAAATAACTGCAACACACTTTTTACTGTAACCCAGAATTATCCCAGGGATGTTCAATAACACAAATTCTGTACTTTTGAGCACCAAGTTTCTGGTAATTCCAGGTTAATATTAGAATGCTATAAATTTTTAAGAAAGAACATCTGGTTTTGTTCACTGCAAATACAGTTGAACTTAATATTATTCTAAAAATCATGTCTCAGAATCATCTGCTTTAAAAACGATAAAATTTATGCTAACTTTGAGAAGCAAAAGAATAATGTGCCAACTAGCTATTGACAACTAGTTTTTTGAAAATGGTTTATACATCTATATACTAGGGGTGTACCAGAAATTTACTGAAAAAAAATTTTTTGAATACCATTTTAGTAAATATCAGCATGAATTTACTAGTATACGAACTATTTAGAATCTATCTATCTAATAACACAATTAGTGGAAGAAAAATTACCAGTATATATTTTTTTTCTTTTGATATGTTAGATATGTCAAAAGCTTTTTATTTCATGCCTTATAATAAAATGTTTTGAGTTAAAAAGTTGTGGTATCAAAAATAAACTACTAAGATGGTATAAAATTTTTTGTGTGTAACTGAGTACAATGTGTTATCTGTAAGGGAAATTTTACAAATTGATTTAATGTTACAAGTGGTGCGTTGCAAGGTTCTATTTTGGGTTCGTTCATGTTTACTGTTTATATAAACCATTTACCAAACTAGTTAATAACTCAGTATTGAATGTATGCTGATGATATAAAGCTAATTAATATAAGTAAAACAAAGTTGAAAAAGATTTAAGTATTAAAATCTCAAACAACATGAAATGGTCTATTCAAATTATTTTTGTGTCTGGCAAAGCTAATAAAATGTTAGAAATAATAAACATTCATTTAAAAACTTAGATATAAAGCCATCTAAGCTACTGCACACCTAGATCTAAGCTACTGCACACCTAGACACACATCTAGACTACACAATTTCAGAGTGGCATCCTTACTTAGAACAAGAAAAAAATAATTTAATATCTGATAATTTAATAGCTCAACTACAAGAGGTCATAATAGTATTAACAACTAACAAAAAAAACTTTTGAAAAAAACAACAAAATTGACAGAATTACTATAACCATGTCTAAAATGTCAAAGTTGGTGTTTTATATTCAACATTCTAGCTTAGCATCAGATTTGTTGAAAGGTGAATTAAGACTTCAAATGTCCAGTGCAACTCACTGGAATAGCAGCTTATAATGGTCAGCTCACTCCTCACAGTTATCACTGAGATATTAATTAAACTTGATTCCAAGTTAAAAATCAGTATGACAGAAACCTCCTCGTGGAGCTGTCAGAGATATTAGATCAATTTGAAGTTGCAACAGATCTAACACAAATTCAAAATTATTTTACACCCAAAGTTATTGTGCATTGCATTCCTGGCTTGCATGTATTTGACCCCAATACCGGTTAAAAAATGACTATCCTTAGAATAAAGACAAACATAAAATGAAAGTTTGCCTAAATAAAACATACAAAACAAACCAAACATGAAAATAAAAAAACTCTTATTGCAAAATATTGTTTCTAATTTTCTAGCTACTTACAAGAGAATTTGGTAAAGATTTGTTGGGACAACCAAAACACAAAAAATTTAGTTACCTTGAAACTCTTGCTTAAGAGCTTGGGTAAATGCTTTGCCGATGATTTGTCCCCCTAGAACAATTATCTGTGCTAGAAATCTTGCCTAAATAAAATGCATATATATATATATATATATATATATATATATATATATATATATATATATATATATATATATATATATATATATATATATATATATATAATATAGTTTAAAATAATAAGAAAAAATTAAAATAGAATCATTAGTATATAAAAATAACTTGCCATAATTATTAAAAAATAGTTGCCATAGTCTTCTTTTATTGTATAAATGTTTAGAAAAGTTAAAATTTTCTATATAAGAAATAAAGTATACACTCTAATAATTCTCAATGATATTAAAGTCAAAACAAATAAAAGAAAATCGGAACCATTCAAATATAACTAAATTAGTTTTTTAAATGAAAAAAGGCAGTTTTAATTTATTGTTTTATTCAAACTAATTTAAACAAAAATTGGCTAAATAATAAGATTGGACTAGCTAAAGTTATCAAACAAATATTTTGTTTTAATAGTATCAAACAAATGTTAAAGTTATCAAACAAATATTTTGTTTTAATATAACTATTATACAATTGTGATTGTAACACTAAAAAATTAAATAAGACTCAAAAATATGTGTAAATAAAAGTCTTACACTAGAGTTAAATTTCGTTTTTTTGTTTATTAATTATTATTAAGTAAAAAGTTGTACAAAAATTTTAATATTGTCTTATATATTTACAGTATAAAATATAATATAAATAATTAAAACTACATTGACTATTTCTCTAAATGCTTAAATAAATAAAATTTCGTAGATATTCACATTTATAAAAACACAAATAAATACATATACACACAAAATAAAAACTTAAATCAATTTTCTAGTTTTGATTCTTTATTCTTTCTTCGAAAAAAAGAAGAAAGTGATGCTATTTGGTCTCTGGATACTAAAGATTCTTCAATAGGTGCAGTGACATCAAAAAGTTTAGTCCTATTAATCTTAACTTTATTTGCAGGAATTGGGAGTTCTAAATGATGAACAGGTAGTGGCTTTGTGAAGAAATAGTAGTGCAATAAAGCTTTTTCAGCTGGAATTCGTTCTTTGGATGAATATACTAAAAACTTCTTTAATAAATCAATAGCATCCTTTGAAGCATCAGGAACAAGTTTCTCAAAAGGGATAGGATTATTTTTAGGAAAACTGATTTTGTTAAAGTCAGGAAGTTCCTTTAAACCAGGCCATTGATCTTCATCAGGGGTACCAAGAGCATGTAGTACACAACACAATTGTTCAATATCACTTTCTCCAGGAAATAAAGGAGAATTATTTAACATTTCTCCAAATATAGTTCCAATAGCCCAAAGATCTACACCTTCATCATAAGTATGAGACCCATATAAAAGTTCTGGAGCACGATACCACCGTGTAGCAACTTGGTGTGAATACTGACGCTTATTTGGGTCATTTTGAAAAATTCTAGCTAAACCAAAATCTGCAATCTTTAAATAACCAAAGCAAGAAATTAATAAATTTGCTGGCTTCAAATCTCTATGCATAATTTTTTTTAAATGACAATACGAAATTCCTTTTAAAAGCATTATCATATAACTTTTAATTTGTGATTTTGATAAAGGGTTTTTAAAATTACGCAGAACTTCAGAAAGATCTGAAAGCATAAATTCAAAAACTAGTACAAAACCAGTACCGTGAGGGAAAACATCATAAAGTCTCACAACATTTTCATGATCAATTTGTTGCAATGCTTTAATTTCTCGTAAGGCTGTGTTAGAAACACCATCCTCGAGTCTTCTTATTTGAACTTTTTTTAATGCTACAACCTCTCCGCTTTGCAGTTGTTTTGCTTTAAAAACCATGCCATGTGCTCCTTCCCCAATTTTCCCAAGGATTAAGAAGTTTTCCATTAAGTCACTATATATCAAAATGTATGAAAAAAAAAAAAAACGAAGCACACCAGTGTATTTTTTGCTACGGACAACTCTCCGCGTTGTATTAAAAAGTAAACATTAAGCGGTATGATTTTATACTGACGATAAAAAAAGCTCATACGGACAAAAAATACGTTTTTTTAACGTCGTATTTAAAATTTGAAAACATTTTACGCATAAAAATAAGTTTTAATTAAAACACTCAACGTTAAAAACAGTTTATTTGAATCAGCTTATTATTATGCTTTATATGTTTAAATAAAACAATGCCGTCTATGGTGTCGTCTGTAGTTTTGTGTTATATAACCCTGAAAAGGTATTCTTTAATGGCGAAGAAAAAAGGTGAAAAAAAAAGCTAAATTTAGAAAGACAGTTAAACGTTGAGAAAACAAAAATATTTCTTAGTGAATGTTTAGAAGATTTCAAGTTATGCACAAATTTCTTATTATTTTACATTTAGGTGCAATCAAATTAAGTTAACTTGTTAAATAAATTTAACAAGTTGTTTGATTTTATTTATAGTTACAAATAAACAAGAAGTTGTTATCGAGTAATGAAACTTGATTTAGAATAAATTCAATTTGTGATGTTTAAATTTTTGAGCTGTGCTGATTTCTTCAAGTTTCCAATGGAGAAATTAGTACAGTTCAAAAATTTAAACACCACATAATTCAGGGTTGTAAAATGGTTTCATTGCATCAGAACGCGATAGGAAATTGAGAATCTAGTAATTTTTTGATTAACGGAAAGGTATTATAAATCTTTTTGAACATCGAATATTGTTTCGAACATCGAATGTGTCTGTTCGATATTTTGCAAAAAATATTTTCGAAAACCTTAGGACTTTTTTCTATCTGATGTTAAAACATTAATTTCATGATTTTGAAAAGATTTATTTGCTAAATATCAAGAGGCTTTGTGTTTCTAAGAAGAGGTTTACCGTTAGCAAAGCAATTATTAAAATAAATAATTCGTTCTGCAAGTTTCTGTTGTTTTCAGGGACATATGAGTTTAGACTTTACAAGAACATTAGTAACTACTTATGACTGCAAAATAGAGTAAGTATGGTTTATCTAAAGTTTGAAAAGATTTTTATAAAATTATCGGCGTCCCGGATCAAATATCTAGCCGCATATCTAGGCTGGATTTGTATATTATCCGGTATCCGATATACGGTCGGATAATAAATAAAATCCGGTTGGTAAAGCTATATATTTTATGCTAATCAGCGTCATAAAAAAAATTCTTATTACTATGTGCTATCAATAATGAGAAAAAAAATTCTTATAATATTGCTTATGACTATATGCTAATCAATAATAAGAAAAAAACTTGTTTTAACTAATGCTGTATTCTTTAAGATACACACTTAAGATCAAATCAAATCAAATCAAATATATTTCGAAATAAGTTATAACATTTCAAGGAAATTTACAATAGTACAAGTACTAATATAAAGTAAATACCTCAATATACAACGTAACGTTATAGTCAATGATGAAAGTAATAATAATAACTGTTATTAATAATACTAATAATAGCAATAATAACAATAATAGTAATAACAATAATAACAATAATAATAGTAATAACAATAATAACAATAATAACAATGATTGTGATAAGAATAATAATAGCAACAACAACAACAAAAATAATAGTTATAACAATAATAATAATAATAATAGTAACGAAATAATAACAATTATAATAAGAGAAGAATTTCATAAATAAAGACAATAACAGCAGCAAAAAAATTTAGTAAAGAGTGATGGCAACAACAACGATTTAGTACGAAGTAGAATAGTTGAGAAATAGAGAATTTTTGAATGAAAAGAGATAAATAGATAGATAAATAAAGAATGCCAACCCATTCGTACTAAAATTAATAATATTAGTATAGATAGTTTAATAATAAAGTTTAAAAATGGCATAAATGGATAAAAATGGCATAAATGGATAAAAAACCAGAGAAATTAGATGTAGATAGATAAGTAGAGAATTTCAAAATGTTAAAAATATCAAATTAAAAACTGAAGGATTACGAATTGACATATCTAGTAAAGAATGTCAATATTAGTTGGTTGAAATATTTAATTGTATTTTTTTAACAGATAATTAAAAAGCTTGATTTTGAATTCAGAGATTGAATTAAGAGATTTTAGATCAGGAGGTAGTTTGTTCCATGAGCTAATACATTGATATTTAATGGATTTATTTCCATATTTAGCAGATTGGTGTTTCGGAATAACTAAGTTTAAGCTACTGATGGAGCGAAGAGGATAGTGACAATTTGTAATTGAAAAGAAATTGTTGAATGATAGGGGAAGGTTTTTGTGATGATAATTCCAGACAAATAGGCAGTTAAGGAATACCACAAGATCGCTTATTTTTAATATTTTGGAGATTAGGTATAGTACATTAGATTTAGAGTTATTATACTAAAAATATATTATTTTCAAGGCTTTATTTTGGAGATGGGACAACCTTAAAATGATTTGTTTATGGGATTGTCCCCATACTTGACATGCATATCTTAGATATGCATACGGAGCTCATACGGACATACATACATGATATATATTTAGCAGAGTTTTTAGATTAACATAATGGCGGACTTTGGCTAGCATTCCATTAGATCTGCTGAGTTTCATTGCTAAGTCATTCAGATGGCCTTGAAAAGAAAGATTAGAATCAATTTTAATCCCAAGATATTTAATAGAGTCTAAAGGATAAATTTTTTGTCCACTTAGTCTGAAATTTAATTGCTTTTTAATTGGTGCCAGATTGGATTTAAAGATGATAAGCTCTGTTTTGTTAGAATTAAGAGAGAGTTTATTAGAACGAAGCCACTGAACAAGATTTCCAAGATCATGATTAATATGTTTGTTGATTTTTTTAAGTAATTTGTCAACCAGTAGCATGTTAGTATCATCAGCAAAATGGTAAGCAGTTGCAAATTTAAAAGAAGTATTCAAGTCATTAATAAAAAGAAGAAAAAGAAGTGGTCCTAAAACTGAACCTTGTGGGACGCCATTTGAGCAATTCTGTAAAACAGATTTAGTGCAATTAATGGAAACAAACTGTGTTCTATTTTTGAGATATGAAGTAAACCATTTTAGCGGGATGCCTCTGATTCCATAGTATTCTAATTTTGTGAGAAGGATGGAGTGATCCACAGTATCAAATGCTTTCTGCAAATCTACAAACACCCCACATGCAAAGTGTTTATTATCTAGAGCTCTTCTAATCTTCTCAGTAATTTCAATAAGTGCAAGGGTAGTAGAATGTTTGCTTCGAAATCCATATTGATGTTGGTACAAGCATTTAAATTTTAGACCTGATCAAATTATTTGGTAAATAACGGAATTAAGGTTTTTAAACAAAAACCTTTTATAAAACTTCAATTTACAGTGAAAATATAAGTGCCGTTTTCGATTATGAAGCTCGGCAAGACTTTGTTATTTCTTTTTTGTTTATCAAGATCTCAAGGATCTATATTAGGACCACTCTTATTTTTAATTTATATTAATGATTTAAGCAAAGCCTCTAATATTCTAGATTCTATCTTATTTGCTGATGACACAAATTTATTTTATTCTCATAGTGATATAACAGCATTATTTAAAACGGTCAACATTGAACTCCTAAAACTAACCGAATGGTTAAATATGAACAAACTTTCAATTAATTTAACTAAAACTAAATATACTATTTTTCATCGCCTCCATAAAAAAGAAAAAATTCCTCTTGAACTTCCAAAACTTATTATTGGAGATTACATCGTAAAATGAGAATGTTCGATGAAATTTTTAGGTGTAATTCTAGATGAAAACATAAATTGGAAAGACCACATAAACATGATTGAAAATAAAATTTCTAAAAATATTGGATTACTCTATAAAGCAAAACCATTCTTAGATCAATCCTGCTTGAAATACATATATTACTCATTTATACATTCTTATCTTAATTATGCAAACATTGCTTGGTGTAGCACCAATAAAACAAAGATAAAAAAGCTATTTAGCAAACAAAAACATGCAATTAGATTATTATCAAATGCACACCGCCTCTCACATTCAAGACCATTGTTTAACAATCTAAAAATACTAAATGTGTACCAAATAAATATATATCATCTTCTGATTTTTATGTATAAAATTAATAACAATTCAATACCAAATATCTTCAAACCATTATTTAATAAAATTCAACACAAATACGTAACTAAATATTCTAACAACAACTTTGTTCAACCCAAAACTATATACGACTCCACCAAGTTTTCAATAACTGTTAGAGGACCTAATGCATGGAATAAGATAATCAGTAATGATATTAAAACTCTTAAAACTCTTGATCAGTTTAAACAAAAACTAAAACTATTACTTTTAAATAATGAACAAACAGATAATTATTTTTAAATCTATCTATAAAAATATTATATTTTAAAACTATCTACTAATGCATACTTTATTTGTCTGGAAGGTCTAAATTCTTTAATTTTATATAGGTATTACAGTCTGTTATATTATAAAAAAAGAACTTATAAAGATTTTTAGCATTTTTAGATTTCATTAGTTTAAATAAATTTATTAGTTTTCTTAAATAAGAGAGAGAGAGAGGAAAAATAAAAAAAGTAATCTTTTTTGAGTTTTAATTTTTTATATTAATATTTTGTAATTTGTTTTTGAGGAATTAATATATTACACTTTATAAGAACAGATTGTAAATTAAATTTTACGTTTACTTTTTTCATGTTTTTTAGTTTTTTGATATTTTTGTTTTTCTGAATGAACTTTTAAATTTTTCTTTCAAAAAATAAAATCGAAAAAATATCTTTCAAAACTTTGAACTATTAAACTATTTGGCATTTTATATAAACTTCTTTGTAATATTTTGCTTTTTTCTTAATTTTTTAATTTTCATTTTAGTTACCATGTATTTATATAAATGTCTAGACAAACAAGGGACTTGGTGATAAGACAACCCCGTCTTCTTCTCGTCCTTGCCATTTTTAAATATTTTAAATTACGGAACTTGTAAATATTTGTACGGCTAAATTATAAAAAAAAAAAAA